TTTTGCTGAACGGGATGAACGTGGATGCTGCTGTGCAGACAGTCACCGCGCAGCAGAAGCATGCTGGAGGAGTACGATGCGATAACACAGGCACAACAGAGCACAATTGATGCCCAGCAGACCACGATTGATGCACAGCTGAGAAGGGTGCGTGCGCTTCGAGGCAAGGTGTGCAAGGCCAGCGCGAGCACACTGGGCGAACAGCTGGGAACCTCCAAGGACAAGTGGCACGGTGCTGTGCTGGCCAACAACGGCCTCATCTACGCCGCGCCGCACAGCGCAAGTTCTGTGCTCATCATCGACCCCAGCACCAACGCTGTGGACACCACGACCATCTCTGGATTCGGTGGTGAGCGGTACAAGTGGGCTGGCGCCGTGTTGGCGCACACGGGGCACGTGTACATGTTTCCGTCGACCAACACCTCAGTGCTCATCATTGATCCGGACACCAACACGGCAGACACCACAAGCATCCACTCGCTCAGCTCCGGCAGCGATGAGAAGTGGGCGAGTGGCGTTGTGGCAGACAACGGGCTCATCTTTGGCGTGCCGTTTTCTGCCGCCTCCGTGCTGATCATCGACCCCGTGACCAACACCGCAGACACCACCACCATGTCTGCCCTTCCTGCGGACACTTACAAGTGGTATGGCGGTGCTCAGGCAGGGAATGGCCTCATCTACTGCATTCCAACGTTTGCGGCCTCGATCCTCGTCATCGACCCGCAAACCCTCACGGCCGACGCCACAACGCTGGGCGGCTTTGATGCATCTGTGAAGTGGGCGGGCGCCGTGCTTGCCGGCAACGGGCTCGTCTACGGCATGCCAGCGCATGCCCCGACGTTGCTGGTGCTTGATCCAGCCACGAATGCCACCAGCACGCTCACCGTCGCTGAGGCGACAAACGAGGGCAAGTGGGTTGGCGGCATCCTCGCGCCAAACGGCAACATCATCGGCGTCCCAAGCACCTCGTCCGCCGCCCTCATCTTCGACCCCGCCACCAACACCACGGACACCACCTCCCTCGATGGTTTGCCTGGCAACTACAGCTGGTATGACGGCGTGCTCGCCCCCAACGGCCGCATCTACGGCATCCCCCGCAACGCGGACACCGTGCTCGTCATCGACCCAGGGTGTTGACATTGTTGGATGGGGGGAAGCGGGGGAGCGAAGGGGGTTTGGGGAAGCGAATGGGGAGTGAAAGAGAGAGAGAGAGAGAGAGAGGCGCGGCGGGGGTAGAGTTAGTTTGATAAGTGAGTTATGTTACATGTTACATGACAAAAGTTCGGCGATTACAGTATGTGATGTAGTTTGCTTGGGTGCCTGCGTGCCTTTCTTGCTGCTTGTTATCCATCTGCTTCTGTTTACACTCGCCAGCTCATGCCACCACCATGGCTGTGTCGTTTGACCGAATTAAAACGCCGTCACACACTGTTCCACAGCCCTCCCCAATCCCCTCCACTTCCATCCACACGGCGACCTGCCTTTGCTTGCTTGAGCACATGAGCGAATGTAAACTTTCGGTTGTATTGGCGACAAACGAGTAACCAAGGGAGCAGCAACAGCGGCAGCAGCAGCAGTAGCGCCACAGCGCAAACACTTGCAACACACAGCGCCACAGCACCACCAACGGACATCACATCCGCAACAATGTCACCACATCCAAACGACCACCACGATCACTCAGCAGCCGGGAAGAGGGTGTTGATGGTGGCGCGGAAGGCGGCGGCGTCTGCCGTGCGCGAGAACCACTCCTCCTCTGGCACCTGATCCGGGGACGCAGCGGCAAACACGCCGCCAATGAACGCAGCGCGCGAGCAGTTGTCACCTGGCCAAGTGTTGTGTGAGTGAGTGAGTGAGTGAGTGAGTGAGTGAGTGAGTGAGTGAGTGAGTGAGTGAGTGAGTGAGTGAGTGAGTGAGTGAGTGAGTGAGTGAGTGAGTGAGTGAGTGAGTGAGTGTGTGAGTGAGTGAGTGTGTGTGTGTGTGTGTTGCATGCGCGTGTGTGAGTTGCACGCGTGTTGTTTGTGATGCAAAAACACGCCATGAACAACCGCAACAGCCCCCTCCCCTAAACGCGGACAACCACCACCACCTCACCTCCGAGCTTGATGTTGGTCCTGACGGCCTCCTTGAAGGACGACGACTGCAGGATGACGAGGAGAGAGAGCTTGAACGCGCCCGGATACGAGCAGGAGATACCCCACTTCTTCGACAGCGCTGCAATGTCGCCGTCTGCTTGCAGGATTTTCGTGCGTGCGTGTATGCGTCAATGTGTGTGAGTGAGTGTGTGAGTATATGTGTGTGTACGTGGGTGAATTGTTGAAGTTGTTGAAGTTGTTGTTGTTGTTGTTGTTGTTGTTGTTGTTGTTGTTGTTGTTGTTGTTGTTGTTGTTGTTGTTGTTGTTGTGTGAGCGTGTGAGGGTGTGTTTCACTTGAGTGCATGGATGTGCGTGTGTCCATGAGTGTGCGGGCCCGTTTCGGTGCAGATCACCGGACATCAAAGACAGCCCAAACGATTTCAATAACCAGCAACGTTCACGCCCGTCACACACACACACACACACACACAAGTACACACCTTTGTTTGCGAGGACGTCGGTGATGTCGGCCTTGGTGGTCGCGTCGAGGCTGTCGGACGACTCCGCCGCCTTGATCGCATCCCCCACCGTCGCCCCGTCAAGCACCTGCTCAGCAGCCGTGCATGCAGGCAACACGTGTGTAAGGCGGTCGCGTATCGGTTGTGGCGGCCTGTTTCTGCGATTCGGCAGGACCAACGCAAGCAACGAGAGAACAAGCAAACGAACAGCACTCTGCACACACACATAACCCCCCCCCCACACACACACACACAGCGCACGTTCTTGGTGATGATGGCGGCAGCGAGGCCATACTGCACGGCGGAGGGGCGGGACTGCATCAGGGCAACGGCGGCCTTGGCGGTGGCAACAAAGTCGTCTGCCTTGCCAAACGCGGCCGCAATGAGCGGGGCCTTGGCCATACCGTTGGCTGGTGATCAAGTGTGTTTGTGAGCGTGTGTCAATGTGCGGGCGTGTGTGTCAATGTGTGCGCGTGTGTGTCAATGTGCGCGCGTGTGTCAATGTGTCAGTGTGTGTGTGTATCAATGTGTGTGTGTGTGTGTGTGTGTGTCAATGTCAAGAAACGGACTTTCGATGACTACCACCACTGCTGTTGCTGCAGTACCGCTTCCGTCCTACTTGACCGTCCTACTTGACCCTCCCCCTCTCCTCCTGTCTGCTGCGCCTCACCTTGGTTGTCGTCCTTGTCGGCGGTGTCTGGGTAGGTAGCTCCCTTGGCAGCGTTTGCCTCGAGCGTCTTTGTGACGTGGTTCTTGTACCCTTTCCACGACGCGAAGAACTCGCACATTTCCTTCAGTGTCACACCATGCAAGGTGGACACGTGTGTGATGGAGACTATGAAGTGAAACTCACACCGAACACAGTGCAAGATGATACGCGAAAGTACGCAAAAAGAACATCAGACAGGCAGACAGACAGACAGGCAGGCAGAGAGAGAGAGAGAGAGACAGAGACACACACACACCTACACGCATACACCTACATGTATACACACACCCCTACATGCACACACGCACATACGCACACACACACACACCTTTTCGACGGCCTTTGGGTCGAGGGTGCCCTTGTTGGCTGCATCCGTTTTGGCCAGGCCATTCAGCATGGCCACGTACTCGCCACCATAAGGGGAGAGGTCGCCGACTTTCGCCTGTGCAGATACGCATGAACACGCATATTCTTCTGAGCATGTGCCTATTGACAACTTCACCAACAAGACATAACCACCTACATGACACAACCAGCAACCCACACACATCCACACGCAGCCACACACATCCATCTACATGCACCGACACACATCCACCTCCACACAGTCACACACATCCACCTCCACACATCCACCTACACACAGCCACACACATCCACCTTCATACAGCCACGCACACAAAGCATCCCCCTTCCGCTCCCTTTTCCGCTTGCCAACCTCGTAGAAGGGGCACTGGGGCTTGCTGCAAAACTCTGGCTCATCCACAATGCCGTTCTCCTTCAGGAAGGTGCTCAGCTTTGCCACGTCGTACACCCAGTGCAGCGGCGTGGTGGCCGCATCCGACAGCAGCCCTCCGACAACACAAGCCCGACGCGCGCTCATCCTTCCTCTGTTCTTGTGTGTGTGTATTGTTGGCTTCCTTGCAGGCCACTGGACTCGGATTTACGAAAAGTGGCCATTGCATCAACAAAATTCCGTTTATTTGGGTTTGCAAAAGGAAGCAAAGCAGTTAAGATGGAAACAGAAGAGATGTGCGTGTAGTGTTCCCACAACAACACGCACAAGACATTCACGCGGCTGCAACAGCCTTGACGGCCGGCACGCCGGTTGGCTTGGGCTTTGCGGTTTGTGGCTGTGGCTTCTTCATCTTTGGGGACGCTGGCGCCTTCTTCTTCTTCTTCATCTTCATCTTCTTGCCATCCTCGTCCTCGTCGTCATCGTCGTCTTCGTCGTCGTCGCCACCAGAGAGGGCTGCGTCGCCGTCATCCTTGTCGTCATCGTCGTCGTCTCCCTCACCATTGGCGTTGTCTGGCTGCTCGTCCATGCCCTCCAGGTGTGCGAGGACGTCTGCGCCCTGGTCGGGGGCGGGGGCAACCCAGGGCTCTGCCATGAGCTTCTCCACGTCCACGCTGTACTTGTCCGTGGGCACGGGCGCCTGCTGTGTGATGCAGTCGAGCAGCCACTTCTCCGAGACCACCTCCTTGCCGCGCACGGCATCGGGCCCGCCTTTGCACCCGGGCCGGCCAACCACAATGCTCGCAGCAGGCGCACTCCGCGACAGCTGTGGAAGTGGAAGGGGGAAATAGGTGGTGGAGGAAGGTGGGAGGGGGGAACGCGTGAGAGGGGTGTCAGGGAGAGAGAGAGGGAAGAAAGAGGGGAGGTGTTTGTTAACACACGAATGCACACACACACACACACACACACACACACACACACACACACACACACACACACACACACACGCACCTGCCCGCCGCTGCGGGTGACGAGCGACTGGAGAAACTGGCGGTTTGGTGACGTTTGTGCGCCAATGTAGACGGTGACGTTCTTTGGGAAGAGCGGGCTGGTGGTGGCGGACGCGGCAAGCCCCTGCCGCCGCTGGCGGGAGATGGCAACGCCAGGGAAGGTGTCGGCGAGCTCAAACTGGTCCTCGTCGAGCCAGTGGCCAGCCTGCATGCTGCCGTGGATCCAGTCCATCGACACGACCCAGCAGCCGCGGGTGATGCCCTCCAGCACCTTGAGCGTGCGCTTGCCGCCAGAGACAACGTGCGTCACCTCGTCCGAAAACGCAGGCAGAATGTCAAACCCGCCCAGCGCCTCAATCGTCGCATACGCAACATCCAAATCCCTGCACATGTGTGTGTGTGTGTGTGTGTGTGTGTGTGTGTGTGTGTGTGTGTGTGTGTGTGTGTGTGTGTGTGTGTGTGTGGTGGAGGGGGAAAGGGTGCCGTGGCATTCGTGTGAGTGGCAGATGAACGCAGAGTGAGGTTTGGTGGAAGCAAACCACAGGGCAAGCGAGAACGCTCAACACATTTCAAACGGCACTCACGCCGCATCGAGTCCGCTGAGAACGACATGACCAAGAATCTGCAAATCAACATGCAAGTTGGGGGGGGGGGGGGGAGGGTGAATGTCAGCTCGTACGTCCATCCAAACAACAACACAACACAACACAACACAGCACACACACACACACAACAACACAACACAACACAACACAACACAACATACCTTGCGCTTCTTGCGTGGGGCGGTGTTGGCGGCGGCCTTTGTCTTCTTGCTCTTGTTGTTCCCTGCCTTGTTCGCGTCGTCGTCCTGCTGCTCCTCATCGTCGCCGTTGTCGTTCCCGTCGCTGTGTCCGTCCGTCACACTCTTCTTCTTGGTGGCCATCTTCGCCTTTGCCTTGTTGCTGTTGCTGTTGGTGACGTCCTTGAGCTTTGAGGGCTTGCTGGGCTTTCCCTCTTGCTCCTTCCGGTCCTCGTCCCCACCAGAGCCCTCGCCAGCACTCGCCGCCTTGTGCTCCGATCCGTCTGCCTCCTCACCCTCTTCCGCACCACCACCACCCTGTTGCTGTTGCTTGGTGGCGGCGGTTGCGTCCTTCTTCTTGCGGCTCAGCAGCTTGCGCTTCACGGGCGTCTTCTTGCTGCCCTTGCCCTCATCTTTCTCCTCTTGCTGCTGCTGCTGCTGCCCTGTCGCCGCAGCCTCACCACTGTCGTTGCCGTTGCCGGCTTGCTCCTCGCCCTTCTCTTGCTCTTCCTCGGCGTTGGCGAGGTTGCTGCTGTCCTCCATGTTTGGCGAGTCAAACACGAGCGACGGCTGCCGCGGAATCGCCGGCGACGCGTGCTCCTCCTCATCAACACCGCCGTTGCTGCCGTTGCCGTGGGCTGGCGTTGCGGGAACACCAGAGGCCATTGGGCTCTCCGGCACAACAACCGATGCTGCTGTCGATGGTGCCGCCTTGCCACCGCCCGTGGTCGTCGTGGCTTTGGTTGCTGCAGCGCTGTCGCCCACTTGCTCGTCGTCGTCGTCGTCGTCGTCGTCGTCGTCAAAGGCCTGCGTGTCTTCGCAAAGGACCTTGCTGGCGGGCGCCTTTGGGGTGGACTGGGCGCTGGTGGCGGTGCTGCCAATGGCCTGCGGCTTCATGGACTTGGAGCGCTTGGATGCCGGTGGGGTGGTCTCTGGATCGACAAGGAAGGGCGCCTCGTCCACGCGCTGGCGCTGCTTGCTGCACTCTTCCACCCACATGACACTGACCAGCCGCACCTCGGGCCGGGCAACAGCCTTGCTCAGCGTCGACTTCTTCCCGTCCTTGAACACCTGTTGTGGTTGGTTGGTTGGGGGGGGGGGTGGTTTGGAGTGAGCGAGACAAGTGGGGAGTGAGTGAGACACGTGGAGAGTGAGTGAGACGGGTTTGAGAGTGAGTGAGACACGTGGAGAGGGGGCGAGATGGGAAGAAAAAGCAATTGTGAATGAAATGTTCCCTTCACACACACACAACACACGATTCCCACCCCACCCCAAACACAGACACATACGACGTGGGTGACGGTCTTGGAGAAGGAGGCGACGACGCGGCCGCCAAGCTCCTGGATCTTGGACTGGATGACGGCCTTGCTCTCCGCACCTTCGCAGTGCACGTCGATAAAGGCCACCACCCCATACAGCGGGTGGTCAGCATCAGCCTGAACGCATGCACGCATGCGAGTGGATGGCGGTGGTGAGCGCATTGATCTACAGTACAAGCAACCCAAGGCAAGGCCGAAGCAAGCAACACTGCGTGCGTGCAGCGCCAAAATTGAGGCAGTCACGACTCGACCACCTTCTTGGGACTGGCAGGCATGGTGAAATGAAGCGAATTGAAAAGAGGGAAACAAAGCGGGAAGAAGAAGAGAACGCAGGAAACGATGTGGAAAGCAGGAAACGATGTGGAAAGCAGGAAACGATGTGGAAAGCAGAAGGCAGACAGGAAAAAGAGAGTCGTTTGAGCTGCAGTTGAGATGGCAAGAAAGCAACGCGATAATTGGCGATATTGGGGGGTTGGTAAGCGTAACACACACCCACAACCAACAACAGCGGCCGACTTGTGGGGATTGGCAGAGTGCGGGAAAATGAACACCAGCCACAACTTGTCCAGACAAACAAAGAAAACAAAGTGAAAGAAAGAAGAAGCAAACACACACACACTCACAATGCACGCACACAACAAGGCAACTCGCTGCTTGCTTGTGCGGCAACTCAGCAAACTCACGCCACCATCACCATCAACAACTTGTCGAAACAAGTCTGCATCTCCAATGCATGCATGTTTGCAAAACAGCCCCAGAAGTTTTTGCGGGCTCGCTCGAACACGTTCAGACACGCTCCCTCAACACACATGCACATGAACACCAAACACAGCGTCACATCACCACGCACCTGCTTCTTCTTCTTTGCCGACCGCGGCATGGCGTCCTCCTGGTGTGCTTCCTTGCTTGCTTGCTTGAAGATAGATAGGTGGTGCCGGTGGTTGGTGCCGGTGGTTGAGGGCGAGCAGACGAAGTGCTCCACGTCCAAGCAAGGCAGTCCTGGCTGTCTCGTGTGTGTATGTGGTTGTGTGTTTGGCGGGAATCACAGTCAAGATGAGCCGCAACAACAACACTGCTTCAAATGTAACGGCGCGGCGGACGCGTTCAAACTTGCCCGGCCGGTGGATACGAGCGTCAGCGTAGTTTCACTGCGCATCTGCACTCAAACTGTGTGCGAAACGTAGATTGCTACTGCTTGTGGTGTCACTAAGAACTACGACGACACCAAGCGCAAACGCGACACACAAAGCCATCCGTTGATGACGAGGCAGAACCAACCAACGAACCAAGATGGCCACCATCAAAGAGTTGACCTCGTTTGAACGGCAGACCGAGGTGCGATGACAGAGGGTGTGGTGCCGCAGGTTGAGGATGAGGAGGATGCTGCTTGCCTTGCCGGACTCTGGGCGGGGGTGTTGGATGCAAGTTTGAAGTGTGCCCCTCAATCACTGCTGCATGTCATTCATTGTTCGTGTTTGAGCAGCTCTGTCAAATCCTGAAGCTGGAGCCAGACGCCAGCTCCAACTGGGCTCCAGAGGTGCGTCGTGTGACTCTGCTGACCTTCGTGTGACTCTGCTGATCTTTGTTTTGGGTTGAGCAGCGTGTTGTGCTACGCTCACATGCACACATGTACTCGTGTGTACGTATGTGTTTGCACCTTGCACGCACGCACTCACACACACGCACACATGTACTCGTATGTACGTATGTGTTTGCACCTTGCACGCACGCACACACACACACATACATACTCACACGCACACACGCACACACGCACACACAGACAAACCTGAGCGCGGAGCAGCGGGATCTGGCCGCGCTGGGCGTGTGCTGCATCGATTACTCGCCCGCCTTTCACACGTTTGCGTTTGCCCACGGCGACACCATCGTCACCACAGCAGGTGTGCACTCGGTGCAACAACAACACTTTGTGGGTACGGTGCTTGTTGTGCTTGTTGTGCTTGTTGTGCTTGTTGGAGTGGTGCTGTCTGTCGCGTTGTCCGCCTCCCGCGCCTTGCCCCATCTCACCACTCCATTGGTCGTATGAACAGGTGTGGACGACGACTTTGATATTGATCACGTCTTTGAGGACACGGGAACATTCACCACCACGTAAGCGTACGCACGATACTGTGGCCTTGCCGCCGCAGAATGCATGTGTGCATATGTGTTTTCTTGTTCGTGTGTGTGAATGTGTGTGTGTGTGTGTTCTGGTTCGTGTATCCGCGTGTGTGCGTGTTTTTGTGTGTGAGTTACATGCGTTCCTGTTGACCTCTTCTCACTCGAACATTTCTGCGTGCTTATGCACTCCTGCTCTCGTTGCTACTTCCAACAGCGACGAGAAGAATGGCGTCACAGCCACGCACGAGGCGACCATCACCATTCTCAAGTTCATCGAGCTCCCAACCTTGACGTCAGTCGCGGTGCATGTGTGCGTGTGCGTGTTGGTGTACATGTGCGTGTTGCATGTGTTGCAGCTGTTTGTCTTCCTGTTGTTCCTGTTGTCCATCGCCTTTGCCTCCTGGCCTGGCGTGTTTGGCTGACGGTCTTTCTTTCAACATGTGTTCACGTGCGTATGTGATCACGTGCTTGCGTGGTTGCACTCCACCCCACCACACGCGCCATAACCCTCCCCCCCCCAATCGCCATCACTGTTGCCTCCACCAGTGCTCCGCTGCTTGTCGTCGGGTATTCCAGCGGCCATATCCGCCTCTTCTCGAAGGTGCCGAACGCGACCTGTACACGTGTGATTCAACACGAGGGGGGGAGAGAGAGAGAGAGTGTGTGTGTGTGTGTGTATACGTGTCTGTGTGTGTCTGTGTGTGTGTGTGTGTCTGTGTGTGTGTGTGTGTGTGTGCATGTGTGTGTGTGTGTGATTGCACAATGTATGTGTGCGTATTGGGTAGTTGTGGACAAGAGATGCTCCACGCACGCACACACATCACTCACACATCCCCTCCAACACATCCTCATACCTTCCTCCAACACATCATCATCATCGTCATCATCATCATCATCATCGTTCTCCCCGCTCTTCCCAAATGTCAGGACCGGCTGCTGGTGGCGCAGCGCTTCAACACGACTGCCGCTGTCGACATCACCACCCAGCCCCGTCCATCCTGCCCAGACATTGTGGTACGTGTATGCGTGTGTGTGCATGTGTGTGTGCGTGTGTGTGTCTGCACGTTCCAGTGGACATTTCTCTCGCTGACACACACACACACACTCTCTCTCTCTCTCTCTCTTCGCACATACACACTCCCACTGCCCCCACACACACATTTCACACACACACACACACTGAC